AAATGAAAGATTTCCAAGCAACTGAGTTCTGCATCAAGAAGAACCATATTCTGCAAGTTATCTTTGCTCCCGCGGAATTGTGGTGCACACACACACAACCCTGATATAGACTTGCAGCTGTCTGGCATGAAGACCTACTTCCACCTCAGTGGCATCCGCTCCAGGTTTTAGCTGCTTATCTCTGCGACTCTGTCTTGCTTTAAGAGCGAAGTCGACTGTCTGTTTACTCATCCTTCATATATATATTTTTAATTTCCCCCCTACATGCAAAGTTAGCAAAATGCTGCCGCTTGTACCACGATTCCCAGGGTTTTTTTTAGCTTGAATTAGCAATCTTCTGCTGTGCTCCTGTGCCTCGTTGCAAAGCCGTTGACAGTCTAGCAGGAGAATAATTTAACATTTCCCTCGTACCCTTCCCTGTTTGTCCTCTCCCGTTGTGTTTCAAAAAATAGCCTTTTCTGTACTGATTTTTCTAACTGAAGTGTTGAGATGATAACGCGAGCGGTGCTCGTTTATATTAAAGGCTGCCTCCTCCTGCCTGCGGTACCTGATGGCCGTGCAGAACCATCTTCTGAGTAATACTATTTTGATTAAGCCCGACGAGAACGATGACAGTGACAGCTCCGTGCAGGGAGAAACATTGAAGGTACAGGTAAACATCAAGATTAAATTCCAGCACCTCTTTTCGACAACCCCCCCCCTGCGCCTCTTTCCGGGCCCTTGTATTGATACAGGTGATCCGACGGGTATAGCCCGCTCTGTCATGTGCCATCACTTCTTGTTGTCTGGATGTCCTTTTGTGACAGAAAGCTACAGCCTGCCCCCCGCTTCAGCTGGGACTCCCAGGGGTTCAAACCACAAATGGACCACGGTGACTAACTAAAGGTTGCACCCTACCAATGTTCACTGTGAAAAAATTATTCCAGTCCAATTACAGCCCACAAGTTTGCTTCTTTTTTTTGTTTCTTTAGTCTATGTCATGCAGTGCTGCTGCTGCTGCTGCTGCTGCTTCCGAACAATTGTCATGCGACTACAGATTTCCCGGGTAAACAATCTGTTTCCCTCAATGCTTCGTCAGGTCGCTTTATACTTGGAGCCAATGCTCTGCGTCTCCTACTCAGAATTAATCTTGTATTTTCTCGGCATCTGCTGGGTCTCATGACAATTGGTTTCCACATTACACTGACGGCTGATCTAAGGCTGCTTCAGTTTATGCATGAGAAGACTGCCCCGTTGATTGGTCAGGGTGCCATTCAGAAAATGTGGCGGGGGGGGGGGGGGGGGGGGGGGCGGGACAA